TCACACAGTATAAACTCCTGGTGGACATCACAACGTCTGCTTATTTTGTGGTTTTTGTATACCACCAAGGACAAACTATTTTAAAATCCTGAGTAATGTTTCTTAAGTGGAGACCAGTGATCAATCTAGTCCAGTGTCCTGTCTTACACAGTGGCCAACCAGTTCCTCTGGATGGCCAACAACATGGTATAGAGGCCAAGGCAGAGCAAACCCTGATGTTGCCTCCTGGCTCTGGGATCCAGAGGATTAGTGCCTCTGAATGTGGAGGTTCCCCTCAGTCACCGTGGCTGTTAGCCATCAGTAGACTCATCCTCCATGAATCTACCTATAAGAACATCAAAAGAGCCCTGCTGGATCAGACCTGTGGTCCATCTAGTCCAGCATCCCATCTCACATAGTGGCCAACCAGTTCTTCTGGATGGCTGACAACAGGGCATAGACACTGAGACATTTCCCTGATGTTTCCTCCTAGCTTTGGGATTCAGAGGTTTATGAGAACATCAGAAGAGCCCTGTTGGGTCAGACCAATAGTCCATCTAGTCCAGAATCCTGTCTCACCCAGTGGCCAACCAGTTCCTCTGGAGGGCCAACCACAGGGCAGAGAGGCCGAAGCCTTCCCCTGATGTTGCCTCCCGGCTCTGGGATTCATAGGATTAGTGCCTCTGAATGTGGAGGTTCTTCTCAGTCACCACGGCTAGTAGCTATTGATAGACTTATCCTCCATGAATCTATCTAATCCTCTTTTAAAGCTGTCTATTCCTGTGGTTCCACACAGATTGATTATGATGATTTGAGGCCCATGCATTTGCTAGCGTCTTGCATACTTCTATCAATCTACAGGAGAATTCTGTGTTGCCGCCTTAGCTGTAATTTCACTGATGTGTTTGCATTCCTCTAGGAACTCATCACCATTATGATTGTCTTCTTGCAAAAAGTAATACCAAGTCCCTGAACCAAGGTGACCCTAAATAATAATGCACAAGGAGCATCTCAATAGCAAACATGGGTATTTTTAAAAGATTGGGGGTGGGGGGGAGAGAAAGATTGTCTCGGATTCGTCATTGTCTTGGATTCACCTGGTTATTGTTGAGAGAAATATTTTACGGTTTTCTCTGAAAGGAGAGAGTGCGCTGCTGCATTGCTCCTGGGAGACAGCAGCTAGACGTGGAGGCCCTGGGAATAGGAGTGACGACTCACTGCAAACACGACCATTTTCACAGATAAAAGGATAGGCTCTGTCCTGGGCATGTGCAATTCGGGGCCCACCAAGCCTCTCCTTCTTTGGAGGTTTTCAGACAGAGGCTAGTTGGCCATCTGACAGCAGTGCTGATTCTGTGCACTGGCAGATCGTGAGAGGGAGGGCAGGAAGGGTTGCCTCACTGCTTAGTTCTCGTGGCCCTTTCTGACACACCCAGGGAAATGCCGATCGCCACTTTTGGGGTGAGGAAGCCATTTTTCTCCAGGCCAGTTTGCCCGGGGATCCTGGAGGGTTTCTTTGTCATCTTCTGGGCATGGAACAGGGGTCCTGGGAGTGGGGGGGGGGGAAAGGTATTTGTGAATTCCCTGCATTTATTTATTTATTTTATTTATACCGTGCTCCAACCTAGCAGTTCGAAAGCAAGAAACTGCAAGTAGATAAATAGGTACCACTTCGGTGGGAAGGTAACAGCGTTCCGTGCGCCTTGGTGTTTAGTCATGCCGGCCACATGACCATGGAAACGTCTTCGGACAGCGCTGGCTGTTTGGCTTTGAAACGGAGATGAGCACCGCAACTGGCTTTCGAGCAAGGGAACCTTTACCTTTACCTTTACCTCCCTGCGAAAGCAGGCTCAGGGCGGCTTACAAGAACAACATAAAAGCAGTAATAACATAAATGAAACCATCTAACAACAATTTGAAGCATAAAGTGCTAGCGAGTTGTAACTATGCATTAAGGATGGCGGCACTGTCACTGACTTTTTACAATGATCATAGGAATAGCATAAGTTGTGAAAGGCCTTCAGAGAGGATCAATCACGACATCGTCACTTACTTTGTCTGGAAAACTCAAAGAAGAGCCTAATTTAGATATAGTTTAGTGTTCAAATGTGCATCTTGTCAAATATCCCATATAGTCCAGTCATAGGATTGCCAGTTCTGGGGTGGGAGATGTGGGGATGGAGCCTGGGGAGGGTAGGGTTTGGGGAGGGGAGGGGAAGGGAAGGGAGAGACCTCAGCCAGATAGAATGAAATAGAGTCCACCCTCCAAAGGTAAGTCATTTTCTCCAGGGGAACTGATGTCCATAGTCTTTTTGAAAGAAAATAAAATCCCAGATAGGCACAGAGAAATCTAATTTTTTTTCAGAATAAGCCAAAATAATTTCCTGCTAATTCTCCTTTCTCCTTATTCCAACACATCTCTTTGCAGTACTTCTTCCTTTTAACACATGTGTGTGTGTGTGTGTGTGTGTGTGTGTGTGTGAGAGAGAGAGAGAGAGAGAGAGAGAGAGAGAGAGAGAGCCCTCAAAGTAAACAGCAGAGCAGGGAAATCTCAATGTAAATCGTGCTTGTCAGAAGAATCCCCCTCATTCCCTCCAAAGAAGTGTGCATGCACACGAAAGCTTACACCTGAAATAAAATTTTGTTGGTCTACAAGGTGCCACAGGACTCCAACTTTCTTCTCTCCCTTGTGCGCTCTCTCTCTCTCTCCCTCCCCTCCCTTTCTCCCCAAAGGAGGGGGGGATGAGACCTCAGCCAAAGGAGGGAAGGGAGGCTTGGCTTTGTAGCTCTCCTGCACAGCTGAAGGAGCCAGGCGAAAGAAAGAGGTGATGCAGCAACAGCCACAAGGATGGAAGCAGGAGAGAATTCTGTCGCCCTGTGCTCAGCCAAAAACCTTTGTACTAAAGGCAAAAATTTAAGGTGTTTTTTTTAACATAAAATAAAAACATGCTTCAAACATCAGCACTCTTGCAATATTTTGTTTATTTAACAGTGTCTGATAATTGAAACCTCTTGCTCTGAATTATTGCATCAAAATGTCTGTGCTGTTGCAACCTTGAGTATGCTGTTCAGGTGCACATCTGTAAGCTACAAACCTATGATGACACAGCAACAGGAGAACTGGAAGAAGAAGCAGAAGACAGCCAGTTCCGCTGCACACCTGATAGAAGTCCTCCGGGGGGCCCTAATCTGGCCCCCGGGCCGCATGTTTCACACCCCTGCTCTAAAGCATCTGACTATACTATCCTAGTTTTCTCTAGATACTTAGTCTTACACTGAGGCTGATTCTGCATCTAGCATTCACTCCACATTTTCTCAACTGGGAGGAAAAAGTGCAGCTCAAGACCTCATTCAAACACCTTGGGGCAACGTAGTACTGACTGCAAAGTCACCCCTGAATGGCCATAAATCTATGCAGAAGTTACCATAAAATCCGACAATCAAAGGAAGCCCAAGCGGCATGGAGTGTGGAGGCTACCATAAAAAGCAGCATGCAATGCAGAGGGGAATTTCTGTTCCACGTGGGCTTCGCAAAACAACGGAGGGAAAAGCCAATGCTGAATCAGCCTCATTCACCCCTTTTGGATGAGGGACCGCTCCTTCTGCAGCACCTTCACCAGCTCTGCTCCCTGGGAGTGAACCCCCTCCCACTTGGGGCAAGGCCTTTTATTCCTTCTTCCCAGGCACCGCCCTCTAATATTCTACAGGGGTAAATCTTCCCTCCAAATCCCTTGTTAGCCAATCAGAAAGCCCACTTGGGGCAAGGCCTTTTATTCCTTCTTCCCAGGCACCGCCCTCTAATATTCTACAGGGGTAAATCTTCCCTCCAAATCCCTTGTTAGCCAATCAGAAAGCCCACTTGGGGCAAGGCCTTTTATTCCTTCTTCCCAGGCACCGCCCTCTAATATTCTACAGGGGTAAATCTTCCCTCCAAATCCCTTGTTAGCCAATCACAGAGCCCACTTCGGGCAAGGCCTTTTATTCCTTCTCCCCAGGCACCGCCCTCTTCTATTCTACAGGGGTAAATTTTCCCTCCAAATCCCTTGTTAGCCAATTACAGAGCCCACTTCAGGCAAGGCCTTTTATTCCTTCTTTTCAGGCACCGCCCTCTACTATTCTAGTGGGGTAAATCTTCCCTCCAAATCCCTTGTTAGCCAATCACAGAGCCCACTTCGGGCAAGGCCTTTTATTCATTCTTTTCAGGCACCGCCCTCTACTATTCTACAGGGGTAAATCTTCCCTCCAAATCCCTTGTTAGCCAATCACAGAGCCCACTTCGGGCAAGGCCTTTTATTCCTTCTCCCCAGGCACCGCCCTCTTCTATTCTACAGGGGTAAATTTTCCCTCCAAATCCCTTGTTAGCCAATTACAGAGCCCACTTCAGGCAAGGCCTTTTATTCCTTCTTTTCAGGCACCGCCCTCTACTATTCTAGTGGGGTAAATCTTCCCTCCAAATCCCTTGTTAGCCAATCACAGAGCCCACTTCGGGCAAGGCCTTTTATTCCTTCTTTTCAGGCACCGCCCTCTACTATTCTAGAGGGGTAAATCTTCCCTCCAAATCCCTTGTTAGCCAATCACAGAGCCCACTTCGGGCAAGGCCTTTTATTCCTTTTTCCCAGGCAACACCCTCTACTATTCTACACGGGTAAATTTTCCCTCCAAATCCCTTGTTAGACAATTACAGAGCCCACTTGGGGCAAGGCCTTTTATTCCTTCTTCCCGGGCACCACCCTCTACTATTCTACAGGGGTAAATTTTCCCTCCAAATCCCCTGTTAGCCAATCACAGAGCCCAAAGGGTGACCTCAGAAATGGAGGCCCTGTAGTCACTCTAATACAGTCTTCCCCGGAGCCTGTAGGCCGCACTGCTATAGGCCCAAGATCACGACAGTGGCCTTTGACTGGACTAAGTCTGCACGGCACGGCACTGCAAGAGCTGTGCCACGCTGAAGTAGTCACCGAGGCAGGCAGCAAAGGGGCCTTCAGTTCCTGCTAACCAAAGCAATCAGTTGCGCTCTTTACCTGTTAAACCAGTCATCAGTATAGCGTGGGTATGGATAGGGATCGTTGCTGCTGAAATCGTAGCTGGCTTGGGCGTTCTGGTGGGGAAAAACACAGTTGGACAAACAAGCGTTAAGTACAAGTGCATGATGAGTTAATGCAAGATGTCAAGACAGCTGTATGTAACTACCCTTCTTATGATTGGTTTGACATATTTTAAAGTACAGCCCTGGTCTACCCGGTAGTTTGTTTATTTATTTATTAGATATATATCCCGTTAGGGTTGCCAAGTCCTACCTTTGTAAGAGTAGGGGGAGTCCCGGACGTCCCCGGGAGCCTCCTGGCGCGCACGCAAAGCCGGAAGTGACGCAATCGTGTTGTGCACGTTGGGGCAGGGCCACAATCATCCGAGGGAAAACCATAGAGTTTTCCCTTGGATAATAATAAATAATAATCTTTCAATTTATTGATCACTCAATCCTGCAGAGCTTGCTGGCTCTGAGCGATTTACAGTTACTCATTTTTTACGAGGGACTAACAATGCAATGTGGGGTAAGGGAGGACAACATATATACATCTTAAATTGCACACATTCACAGTCGACGAGGGTTTCGTTCAGATGCAGATGAGACGTGATCCGGAACGGCATTTTTCTCGGCCGAGTTTGATGGCGTCAGCTTTGTTCCAGACTCCTTGAGTTGTAGCGCCACACTGCCATCGCCTGGCTGGACGGCCCATTACAGGCTTTATCTTAACGCCAAGGAGATCTCTCTAGGCTTTCCATCATGCGAGCTGGCCTTCCGTTCACCGGCTAACACCACTCCACCCCACGAGGGGGGGATTCAGTGTGCCCACTCGCTCTAAGGAGTGGTACCTATTTTATCTACTCGCCGAAGCTTTCCAGCCGCTGGGTAGACGGCGAGCTGGGGACAAGGCTGGGAGCTCACACCAGCGCGGGGCTAGAACTGACAGCAAGCCTGTTCAGCTCAGATGTTACAATGTTAACCAGAGGATAAATCCTCTGTGCCACCACTCCCCCTGAGCATCCCCCTGCAATGTGCCTGATGCAATTGCATCACCTCCAGGTGATGTGTTCATGATGGGCACATCACGTGCTTTGGGGGTGGGGTCCCCCCCACTGGCCCAATCCCCACTGGTGGGGAAGGGGCCTCTCGGGCGGGGGTTCCCCGCCCCCCAGGGGGACTTGGCGACCCTATATCCCACCCTCCCTGCCAGGGCAGGCTCAGGGCAGCTAACATGGCCGTAGGCATTATAAAGAGTAAAACAATAAAACAATATAATCATTTAACAATTTAAAATCAAACAAACCATTTAAAGTACCATTCCCCTAAGACAGCGGAAGTGTCTTAGACATCCACCACTGGGGAAAACAGCAGCTGGTTTCAGGTTCCGTAGGGCTTGAGTTCTTTCATACAGGCATAGATATTAGGCCAGCAGCCAAGAGTGGATGGCAGGGCATAGTATTCAGTTAGAACCACAAATCCTTTAGTGTGGCGTCTCGAATGCCTGGCGGAAGAGCTCCGTCTTACAGGCCCTGCGGAATTTTAATAAATCCCGCAGGGCCCTGATGTCCTCAGGGAGCTCGTTCCGCCAAAGTGGAGCTGCCACGGAAAAGACTCTAGCCCTAGTTATGGCCAGCCTGGTGTCTTTCATGCCAGGGAGAAAAAGAAGGTTCTGTGAACCTGACCGCAGTACTCTCTGGGGAACATATCGGGAGAGGTGGTCCCTCAGGTATGCAGGCCCATGGCCATATAGGGCTTTGTAGGTTAGAACCTATTATTACCTTGAGGTCTCATTTAACTTCTGACTTGGGTTAGCTTAACACAGCGGTCCCCAACCTGTTCGAGTTTGCGGGAACCTTTGGAATTTTGGCACAAAGGGATGGGCACGACCACAAAATAGCTGCCATGGGAGGTTGAGCCAATCATAAAATGGCTACGGCAGAGATGGAGCCAACTACAAAATATCAAAAATGAGAGCTCACGGGAGGAGATAGAATAGAATAGAATAGAATAATAGAATAGAATAGAATAGAATAGAACAAGAGGGGGACCCGCAATTCTCGCGGGGGGGGGGAGAAGAGCT